TCTGAGGCTTCAGGACAGGATAGCTTTTTCCCGTTGGACTAGATGGATTAACCTAGATAACGGAGCCACTTCCTCCCTGCCTGAGCAAACACCTGAATGGTGCTGTAGGTTATAAAGCAACTCACATTGTTTTGCCATGTGTACACAAGGTGGCAGATAATCCCATTTTGCTCATGCTTTTATGGAAGCTATTGAAATCTTCCTAAGACTGCACACAGTATTGGAGAACATCAGTTTGCGTGTTGTTCTGGTGCCGCTGTTATTGAGTTTTCCAACTGTCTCTGCCCTCCTCTTCTTCCTTCTTTTCCTTGTGAATTGTTGCTTTCTTTATCCCGTCAAAATAAGGGACTGGGGATTTATTTTTCTGGGCTGTGGTATGCAGAAATCCAGCAGTCTGTATTCTGACTACTTAGATAACTGCTTGTATCTCAGCCCCTTTTATGAGATCTCTTAATTCTGTGGGTAGGGTTGTAAACTGTTAAATAACCACAACAAAACTTTGGCATGTTAATACGGTAGTTTGATCTGTGGTAACTGAGGTTTGTGATGATCTTGCTGTTGCCTGGTTATGTATCTCCCACGTTTGTGTGATAACTATGGGGCAGAGCTGAGAAGCTATTGCATTTTATTAATGCTTTTATGGAAGGAATATAAGTTTTTTTTATAAGCCAGCTAATGTGCACATAATGCTTTCCTGTGTGCAGGTACTTCCTTCAGTATAATTTTGACCTTCAGTGATGTGTACCTGTTAATTCACTAGTTCATCTCTATGGGTTTTTTTCCCTAACTTGAAGCCTGTAGTTTTTAAACATCAGGATCATGAAGACATTTTGATATCCTGTAATTTCACTGTTGCTGTAGTTAGAAGCAGCAGTAAGCTGTGAGAGAGAGCAGTGTGGTTGCCTTCAGGGCACGTCTTGCAATATTCTTTCTTCTGAGAAGTCAGTAATTGAGCCTTTCACCTATGCACAAAATGGAAAAATCTCTGGTGGATGGAGCATGTGTTGTTCTGCTGCAATGAGGAGTCTTCATTTCCACTGCTATGATGTAAAGTCATCACAGGCTTTGCTAGAAATAAACAGAGGTGCAGAGAACATTTGAAGAAAGAGATGGCAAAGCATGTAAACATGGACAAGAATGAATTTTAGTAAAATTATTAAAAGATGTTAATTATATAAAATTATAAAAGATGTTATATATAATAAATGCTATATCATGTATTTGGGAATTGGACCAAGTTAAAAACCAAGTGCTAATTTTATCTGGGAAGCAAAGTAGAATATTAAATGAATTACAGGTAATGAAGATTAGTGAATTACATGTGGATCAGGGAACTCATTCTGCCATGGTGATGTTAAGTACTGTAGGAAGCAAGTGATTTGTAAGCTGTATGTTTGGGCTGTGTAACAGTGAAGTACCACTGCTGCAGCTAGTAGTAAGAGATGCTGTGGAAAGGTGACATGGAGATACTTGAAATCAATGAGTAGCTTTAAAAAATAAGTCTGCAGGATTGCTTGTTTCTAATCAGTCAACAAGCATACGCTTTGACAAAATAATAGTGCTTTAGGTCAATGCTAATAATAAAATGTATCTCTACCAGGAAAAAAGCATGAATGCCTATTATTTTTTCATTGTTAATCTACGCTTAGCATTTAGGAAAATTTATCTTTGTTCCTTAGGCTGTAACTTTTGGCATGTGTTCTGTTTTTCTTAAAATGACCATATCCAGTTTATTGAGAACAGTTCAACCTATGAAAAAATTAATCTCTGGTACTAAACCTTTAATGGATTCCTTTTACAATGAATCATGCATTTGAACTGGAACAATTCACAAAAATAGAACTATTGGAATAGACTGTTTTCCATAAAATGTTAAGCTCTGTGGAGTCTACCTTTCTTGTTATAAAATCAAAACCTTTTCCTGTCTATGGATCCATTGATGTTTAAGATATAACCACAAGATCATCACAGTCCTCAGATGTGTAACAAATCCTCACTGATGCATTGGAAAGGGATCACCTCTCGGTAATTTACAGAACCAGTTTAGAATAAAATTTAAAACTTTGAGAGTTTACAGTCTGACAGAATGTTACTGTTGTCTTCTGTTGTTCTTTTTTTAATTACTAAGATAGGTTTTAGTCATGTAGTCTTTTTCATAAAGTGAGCTTTTCCAATGGTATTTGTTTGCCTTCACAGGATGCCATTGGAAGACAACTTAAAGCACCATTGGTTTGGGTGGTTATGCTCCCATGCCTCAGGAGCAGCGCTTCTTTGACCCCTCAGTATGTCAGATCAGGCAGCAAAACCAGCTGAAATCTGTCTGCAAAAAAAAGAAAACCTTTTTGTTTTTTCTGTGTGACCCTTTCAGGTGCATCACCACAGGGTCGGATGAAGAGTAGTCTCCTTAGTGAGCGAGGGTGTAGGGATGTGTGCCTGAGACTAGGAGACACCACATCAGCTGGATTTAAAGTTGAATTGTTCTGGAACCATAGATGAATATATATTACAGTATATTCCCTTGTACAAATTCAACCCTGCGCTTTCAAAACTTCTTGGCGTTATATCCTATGTTTAGATACACTAGCTATGAAAAAAGGATAAAATTATTATGTATTGAAACTTGGGATTTGGGTGTTTCGATACTCATATGCTCCCACTTACTATTCATGTCCTATTTTCAGAAGCTTCCAAGCAAAGTAGACGAGTTTACTGCTCCTAACATTCTCAGTCTTTGGTAGTAGTGCCAGGGAATTTGTGCACTATTATTGCCAAAGATGAGGAACTGCATGAAAATATGTTCTTGGTATATTTCAGAGTTTTAGTAAAGCTTTTTTAGATGTGGACAACTAGAAATACAAGCATGGTGTTTGACATACCTAGACTTATAGGATGATGCTAGCATGGTTAATTGCCCTTCACTCTTCCAAGTAAGATGCTGTGATTTGCTTTGAATGCTTTTTTCTCTGTGGGTGGTGGGTAGAGAATGGTTAGATGAAAGTAAAATCCTGAAATGAGATCATGTCTGCTTTGTGTGGACTTTAGATTCCATGGAAGGGTGGTGTCTGCAGCCAAAAGTTAATGTACTCCACTGTGTTGCAGTAATCCTGCACCTGGGTGAGGGCAATCCCTGGTATCAATACAGGCTGGAGGATGAAGGGACTGAGAGCAGCCCTACAGAGCAGGGCTTGGGGGGGCTGGTGGATGAAAAGCTGGACGTGAGCCGACAATGTGCGCTCGCACCCCAGCAGGCTGACTGTATCCTGGGCTGCACCAAAATCAGTGTGGCCAGCAGGTCAAGGGAGAGGATTCTGCTGCTCTGTTCTCCTCTGGTGAGACCACCTGGAGCACTGTGTCCAGCTCTGGAGCCCTTAGTACAATAAAGACATGGACTTGTTGGAGCAGGTCCAGAGGAAGGGCACAAAAATGATCAGAGGGCTGGAACACCTCTCCTGTGAGGACAGGCTGAGAGAGTTGAGGTTGTTCAGCCTGGAGAAGAGAAGGCTCCATGGAGACTTTATTGTAACCTTTCAGTACTTATAGGAGACATGAGAAAAGATGAGTTGAACTTTTTTTCAGGGCCTGTTGTGACAGGACGAGGGGTGATGGTTTTGTACTAAAAAGAGGGTAGATTTGGACTAGAATTAAAAAAGTTGGGGTTTTTTTTCCAATGAGGGTAGTGAGATACTGGCACAGATTGCTCAGAGAGGTGGTAGATGTGCCCTCCCTAGAATAATTCAAGGACAGGTTGGACTGGGCTCTGAGTAATCTTAGATAGTTAAAGATGTCCCTGCTTATTGCAGGGTGCTGGACTAGGTGGCCTTTAAAGGTCCCTTCCAACCCAGACCAGCCTATGATTCTATCGTAGCTTTATGCTTGATTGTGGCTCTGCCCCCACAGTGGTTGGGTTTGTCAGTGGTACCTAAATTCTGGGAAAAAAAAATAGGTGATAACTAATTCAAACACTTTCTCTTCAGGTATACAGTTGTGCAAGCTTTGAAAAACTCAGTGTACTAGAAGATTAGAACTAAGAAGGGTTTTGCTCCCATGTCCTACACAGGTTAAAAATCCTGTAGAGTTGAAAAGCAGAGTTATTTTTGAACTTGACTGGTCATCCTTCTGTGTCTGAACATAATCACATTAAATAATAATAAGATAATATCCTGCTCACAACCACTTTAACAGCAGACGTATGTATATTCCTGCTCATGTCACTAGAAAACAGTTCATCTAAGTCACAACTGCAGTAAGGGTGTGACTTTGGAGTGAACTGTACAATTAATTAGCAGCTAATGTGTAGTAGCACAAACAGCTCAAACCTGATTTTGTGGGGTATTTTTTGTGAATTTTTGTCTGCATCCTAAATAAACTAATAATGGTAACACTTTAAAAAAAAAAATGTTCGTAGGTTCTAGAAAGTATAATAGATGTTTCTGTGTCTGTGTATTAAGGCCAAAACTCCAGCATCTAACATTTTGAGTGATATTTACAAGTACATAAAATAAAACTATTCCTATCCATCAAGCTAAGAGGGGGGAAAATATCATTACCAAGCTAAAATCTTAGTACATTTACAAAAGCAACATAAAAGCAAAACAACAATGAATGAGGAGGCAGATCTTCAAGGCAGATCTTTAGAATAAACACACAAACTTAATCCAAATCTTAAAAAATGAAACAAACAAAAACATTTATGGGAATAGAAATTAAATATTACTCTTATTGGGAAAAGAACACTGAGCATTTAGCATTTAATTTGTTGGACATTACTACTGCTTAAGTCTTCTTGACCATAGATCACTTTTGTAAGAGCCTAGTTTTAAATTCTGGTTTTTGAAATCTAATTGTTACTCTTTCTTTTTTCCCCTCCACTCCTTTAAAAGCAACACTAAATGCATGTTTGAACATGCACCATGAAATTCAGTATAGAAATCATAAAACTTTCAAAGTTGTTTTTTGTAGTTAAACATGTATTTTAAGAATTAACTGGGTATTTCTGACAGGAGGAATCTCAACTATTTTTCCAATGCCTATGCTGCCGCAGTCAGTGCTGTGGATCCAGATGCTGGAAATGGAGAACTCTGCATTAAGGTTCCCTCAGAGCTGTGGAAACATGTTGATGGTAAAGTAAAAGGGACCATGCTGAAAGCTTAATTTAAAATGCCATATATTTGTTAGCTACGAGTTTGCATAGGAAGATAGTAGATTTAAATAAACAGAAGTAGCATTACATTGTTTTATAAAATGATGGTAGTTGTTGCCTTTTGCCTCACCCATCGTTCCAGTTGAAGTCTGAAAAACACCTTCACATGTCTTGGTAATATGGAGAAGTGGTTGCAAGGGTTGTTAATCCTCTTTGCAAACAAACTGTTAGGTGCTCATGAGCTCGGAGGTGTACATGAGAAATGGGCTGTAATGGAGTATATTGGGTGCTGAATTGTAACTTTGAAGCTGCTTACATATGATCCAATGAAAAAAAGGATTTATAAAGATATGTCCATATACATATTTTTTAAAAAAAAATAATTTTTTACTGTCTTACTTTGAAGAATAATCATCTTAAAATTGAATTGGTAGTGAAAAGTAGACTACTTTATACATTGATGTACTAGTTCCTGAAGCAAGTAACTATTCTAATAAATCACTCTCCAATGTTGATTTTCTTGCATGGATTTTATTAGTTTCTTGTATTGTTTTCTTACGTATTTTTTATCAGTTTTTCCCCTGGATTTTTTGAGACCTGTGAGAGAATGACTGTGTCATGAAGCTGACTCACACAGTTTTGTCAGATACACCTTAATTGGAAAGACACTTTCATTTATTTTAATTTTTGTTTAAGTTCCTGTTGTCTTACTTGCCTAGAAAAGAAAATATTGAAGCGGGTATAATTTTTATTTTTTCTTTTCAAAGTTTGAATGCCAAAGTATGGTGAGACTTGCTGGCTAATGATATGCTTGGATTTCTTTTTCTGTCAGTCTATTCATAGGTGAGATTTTTGTGAAATCAAGCCAAAGCAAAGATGTTTAAGTTACAGGAAAAGCTTTAACTGTAATAAGAGGTTTAAAAAATTGCAAATGAGAATAACATCTTTTAAGAATGTGACTGTTAGATGCAGGTTTTGCGGAAAATTATTTCAGCAAGGTACAAAGGGAGATCATGGTTAGGGTGCAGTCAGTATAAAGACTCTTTACTGCTGGGGAGTTGGGAGATTAAATATAACTCCAGTTGCAGTTTTTATTGATTAATAAAGATTCTTATAAATACATATATTGTATGTTATCCTTAAGAGGTCTCAGTTTTGTAAACTTTTGAGCCATGATTTGTAAGTGGATTTGGAGGTCCGTGAGAATGAAATAAACACATAATCCTGAAAGACCAAGAGTCCAAAACTGAATGATTATTCTGAAATAACTTTTATGTAAACTGTATGTATTTAGTCCAATTTTAGTCTTGGTGTTGCAGAGTTAAAAGTCCTGAAGGTGCATATAAACTTTTCTCTGGATCAGCCAAAAGGAGGCCTTCATTTTGTGGTACCCAATATGGAAGGCAGCATGGCAGAAAGAGGGGCTCATGTCTTTTCATGTGGTTATCAAAATTCTACACGGTAAGAAAACTCTATTTGAATGTTAGACTGTATTTCCTATTTAATCTTAAAGTGTAGGAAGTACAAATAATTTATTTTCATTCTTCTAAGTGGAAAATTAAGTTGTGCCTGGAAGGAGCTTACCAATGTGAAGTAGCATCTAATGATTAGTAATTAGGATTTCTAGTCTTTATAGTTCAGCAGAAGCTAACGAGAAAAAAACTTAGAGTGCTTTGTAAAATTAATGTATTGTAGGAGTCAGTATGACAACATTCAAAGTATTTAAGAATATAGGTTGGAACTGTAGAGAAAAATCATCTGTGAAAAGGAGAGTATAATTGGTATTTGTAATTGTTAATAATTTTTCCCCCAATCCTAACTTCCCTAGATTTTGGTTTCCTTGTGTTGATTCATATTCGGAGTTATGTACCTGGAAACTGGAGTACACTGTAGATGCTGCAATGGTGGCTGTTTCAAATGGAGACTTGGTGGAAACTGTGTATACCCACGATATGAGAAAGAAGACTTTTCATTACATGCTGACTATTCCAACTGCAGCCTCTAACATCTCCTTGGCAATAGGACCTTTTGAAATCCTTGTTGATCCATACATGCATGAAGTAAGAAGCCTCCTTTTTTTTTTGTGTAAAGTATTAGTGACTATTTTTATGTTGCAATGAGTATATATTGGTCATATGGGTGTGTCTAGAGAGGACTTCCATTAGTACAATTATATAATAAACCTTGCCTAGTAGTGCCTGTATTTAAATTTATCTCCAAGGTAAAGCCTTTGAATGAGCAATAAGTCCATTTATGCCTGAATTTATGGGCTTAATTTAGTTGGCATTGGTAAAAGCATATTTCTCAAAATAGCTTTAAACCTGTCCCATTGCTAGTAGTACCTGAAAATTATTGCTACACATTCAAGTAGTCTTCTGAACTAAATTTGACATTGAGTTTTTAAGTGATAGACATCACTAGATAGACATTGTTACTGTGTGTTTTCTGCTAAAAATTGTTTTCCTGTAGTTGCGCTCAGAATTAAGGTGGGCAACCTAGTGCACTTTTCTGCCGTGATAGTTACTATCACAACTTGAAAATGCTTTTCTCTTAAATTTACAGCAGCTGTATTTTTGCTCTCTTGTAAGGTTTTTTTTCTGCTATGTAATGTACTTGATACTTATGGATTTAAATATCATTGTCAGCCTTGTATCAAATTTTCCTGTTTGCAGGTGACTCATTTTTGCCTACCACAACTCCTCCCGTTGCTCAAACATACCACGTCATACCTTCATGAGGTGTTTGAATTTTATGAAGAAATTCTTACCTGCCGCTATCCATACTCCTGTTTCAAGACTGTTTTTATAGATGAAGCTTATGTTGAAGTTGCTGCTTATGCATCCATGAGTATTTTCAGGTTAGTATTGGAGAAAATCACACCTAAATCCACAGGCCTAGAAGCTCTAAATCCAAGACTATTGAAGAATACATGTAGTTTGTATTATTTTTGTAGCCCGAGTTTTGGGCTCTCTAGTTTGAAAAGGTTGGCTTTTGTTGGCATCACAGTCTTGTCACACCATTTCCAGTTTTATCTGTTAGAAATCATAGAATCATAGAATGGCTTAGGTTGGAAGGGACCCTAGAGATCATCTAATCCAACCTCCCTGCCATGGGCAGGGATGTCTCTGAACTAGACTAGGTTGCTCAAGACCTCATCCAGCCTGGCCTTGAAACCGAGCCTGCCCTTGAACACCTCCAGGGAGGACCATCCACAACCTCTCTGGGCAATCTGTTCGAGTCTCGCCACCCTTGTAGTGAAGAACTTCTTCCTAAGGTCTGGTCTCAACCTACTCTCCTTCAGTTTAAAAACATTTTCCCTTGTCCTGTTGCTGGACACTCATGTGAAAATTCCCTCTCCAGCCCTCCTGTAGATTCCCGTCAGGTACTGGAAGGCAGTTATAAGATGATCCTGGAGTCTTCTCTTCTCCAGGCTGAACAATCCCAGTGCCCTCAGCCTATCCTCATGGCACAGATGCTCCAGCCCCTCAATCATATTTGTGGCCCTCCTCTGCACTTGTTCCAATAGATCTATGTCCCTTCTATGGTGGGGACACCAGAACTGGAAAAGACGTTGGATTTGTATCTTTAAGAAAAAATTTGCAGTGTTTTTCTTTCTGAATTAGAAACATAATTTGTGAAATATTCAAGATCAAATTAAGTGCAGAAGTTTGATGATGTTTTATTTTAATTCAGCTGGGAGAGTACCAGGAATCCAAAAGAGTATCACCAGTTAAAATAAACTACTTTGGCTTTAGATAGTTGCATATAGATGATAATAGCAGGCAATCAGCCTTGTTTAAGGGTATTAAAGATGTTACTGTCTTATTGGAAAAGCAGTGAAGGAATTATTTTATTTGTTTTGGCTTTTAAAGCAAGATATCTCTTTTGTTTCTTTGGAGCTGATGTTCATATTGTGTTATTTTCTTTCTGTGGGGGTCCAGCACAAATCTCCTACACAGCGCAATGATTATAGATGAAACGCCACTGACAAGGAGGTGCTTAGCACAGGCCCTGGCCCAGCAGTTTTTTGGATGTTTTATATCCAGAATGTCCTGGTACGTATTTTACCATTGTACTCTCTAGAAAATGGAAAAAATCTACAAAAAAAAAATTTCAGGAAACTGAAATTTTAATTTTCATATTGAATTTTATCAGAAGAATAAGCGGAACAGAAGAAGGAGAGGGGGGAAGAGAGGGGGGAAATAATAAAACCAACTCAATAAATGAAAATCCCTTACTTACAGCCTACTTCCATGGTGAAGATAACTGTTTCCTCCCTCATAACGACTCCCTTTTTTAATGTCTTTATTTTATTCACATCACTATATGTCATTCTTATATTTAAAATTCTAGTTCTTAGTAATTTTGTAGGTTTTATCCATTTCTTTTCTTCCTTAGAACATAACTCTCAGAAGACATGTTTAAATGAGTGTCCACCAAATTGTGAGATAGGTATCTTTTCTACTTGCTGTCCAGATCTTCTGTATTACCTTGAGGTGTTTATCAAGAAATTAAGATCCTATAGATTAGCAGTTGTTTTAACTTTAGGGTCTATTTCCACTGTTTTATTGTTACTGTTTCACCTAAAATAGTTTGGATTTATATTTTAAACTGGGTTTCTGTGGTAAAAGTTCAGTTTTCCCTGGCTTTTCAGTCTCATCAGTCCCATCCAGGTGCCAAGTTACATAAAATGGTTCACAGCTCATCAGACTCCTATTGACTTAGAGAAGTTATATAACCTGCTGAAATTTGTGGCTATTTTGAGATGGTCAAAAATACCATCCCTTAGAAAATACCTTCTGAAGTGCTATAATTCATGCTTCCTTCTTATTGTAGGTCAGATGAATGGGTGCTAAAGGGAATCTCTGGTTATATTTATGGCCTTTGGATGAAAAAAACCTTTGGTGTTAATGAGTATCGCCACTGGATTAAACAGGTAACAAGAGAATAATAGTATGTTCTTTCAGACATCTTACATCAAAGGAAATGCAATGTAAAATCAGAATCTGACAGTTTTGCATTGCACTCCAAATTAATGTTCAGTTGTGACAAAATTTAGAGCTCAAATATTTTTACCACTTACTGCAAGAAGAGCACCAAGCATACTAACCAAACTATGATTCTGTGAACTGCCTTAATATAGTTTTCATTGGCTTTCTGTGCAATTAGGTTTCTTTGTTTAGACACAAAACCAAAGAAAAATGTAAAAAAATAATTATACTTCTTAACACTTGGTATAGAATATGTGATTCATAAGGAAATATATGTAATGAATTTGTTATACTGTGATGACCATCCATAGAGCTCAGAAGGGCTCCAGTGTTAGCTTGGCTCAGTAATGGATTGGGTTATATTTTAGTATCACTTAAGTACTAAATGAAATAATGAAACACTAAAACGTGCCTATTGAAGTGATTTCTTTTATTGCAAAATAAGTTTCTGTCGATACCTTAAATTTCCAAATGTAGTGCTTAGACAGACAGGTGCTTTCTAGTCATGGCAGCAGTGACTCCTTATTCTGTGGCAGTAACATTAATTCACAGAAGGATGTATATCTTCTTCCTTTTCCTCTCATCACATTCTCTTACTCTTCCTACTAAAAAAAAAAAATAGATTCCCAACTCTCTGGTCTCTATTTACATCCCTTACTCATATAGGGACCCAGTACAATGCCCTTATCTGCCTTAGGTACACTCAGCTCACCAGCTGTGTGCTGTCCATGCTAGAGGCGTTGGGTGCTGTAGAAAACAGCAGAACTGGATACAGGTCTCACCTGAGAGTTCACTGCTGCGTGCAGCATTTGCTGCTGGATGTTAGTTGCTCATATTCTTCCCTATGAGTTAGCTAAGTGCTTCCACATAGAACTAAGAGAGGCTGCTGCCACAGCCTCCAGTTCTGCACTTACTGCTGTGAATGTATTACTAACACATGAAAGTGTTTAAGTTGATATGAACCAATAAATATCAATATATATCAACGTTTGCAAAGTCCTTGACTAACAGTGGGTTGCAGACAGACATCAATTCACTCAGGAGTTACGCTCAAGCTGACCCTAGTTGATTTTACAGCCATGTTGACTGTTGGGTGATAGGGTACCCACGCAAACGTCCTGCCTCGAGGTGTGCTTGTCAACGTGGGCCCAGCACCACGTGAATGCAAACCCATGTTTCTGTTCAGAGCTGGCTTCTGTCTGGCTTGGGCGTGGGTCAAGGTGAGCTTCTCTATGCTGCAGTCTGCTCTGTAGGTATACCCAGTACTACTTCCCAGTGCCAGGAAGTGGGGATCGTCTTTTGGTCAAAGACAACTTACTTCTTAAACAATAATACTCTGTAGGTATATTGCAATTAAATATTATTGTGAGTTGTCCCACATTTCAGACCCAGAACAAGTGTTAACTGTTTTATTATTGTTTGCCATGCTGAGGAACATACCTGACTTTACAATGCTTTGTGTTTGCAAACAAGTTTAATTAGGAGGTAGGGCTTGAACAATAATAACTGACTTCTTTAAGTAATTTCTCTGTTTTTTCAAAATTACACTTGCTTACCTGTGTTGCACTTTTTAGGAGTTAGATCAAATAGTGGCGTATGAACTGAAGACTGGTGGAGTCTTACTGCATCCAATATTCGGAGGAGGAAAAGAGAAAGACAAGTATGTTTATTTAAGCCACAAGTCAGTACAGGGTGTGTTTTTATGGGGCTGTTAATATATGCCTTGGGTATGTTGTGTAGCACAAGGCCAGTCTTCAGGTGCCAAAGGCATGTATTACCAGTCCCATAAAGTACATCTTGGGTATATTGTATCACTGTTGTTTTATTTTTCTTTCACTTTAAATCTTGAAGGGAGCTAAGTATATTGAATGTTTTAATGCTTTTATGAAATTACTTTTTAATAAGAGGATGAAAGAGAATATGGAACCAGAATTTTGACCTGAGCTATTTCTGGAGGGGCTGGCAATCTTTAGGCTTTTTACAGTATCATCAGTTTTCTTTTTCTTTGCTCTTTTTTCTTTCCACTCTGTTACCACCTTGCAATCTTATACTGAAATTTTAGTCGTTTGGAAAAAAAAATCATTAGATCAGTCATCTGTGAAGTAACATTGGTAGTAACTGTGTACTGGCTGGGTTTGTATTTTCTCAATAACTGTAGCTTCGGCGTTGCTAGCTTAAGGAATTTTCCCTGTACCTCTTTCCTGATACTTCTACTGAGTAGTGCAGCCACTGGAGGCAGAAGAGTATTACTACAAGTCAGATCAGTAAGTTGATCCAGATTTCAATGACAATCTTTTGCTGGGTTTTTCTTCTTTGATAAATTAGTCAAGAGACAGCCTCACAAAGAGTAGCTCTCTGGTAACTCATGAGCAATGTGTTCAAAACTGAGTTTGAGCATGTGCAGGTGGAGTGGGAGAATATATGTATTTCTTATGTCCTTACTGCAGGAGAAGCCCCTGTATTATGAAAATACATCCCAAAAGGCCTGCAGCAGTAGTACTCTTGCATGGGAGTGTATACAGATCCAGGCTTTGTTAATTTAAAATTAAAACTCTGGATTTAGAACTGAATTAAGTATGCAATTAACCCATTTAAGTTTTGAATAGTGATCTTTTTTTGAGAGATGAAAAAGAAAAAAGTGTTTTCTGAAATGAAAAATAGGAAGTATTGGTTAATTTACGAGCCAGGTGAATGAATCCTCAACATGTACTGTTTTCTGGATGTTAACAGTCACAGATGTAGCTTGTGTATATGTATGCATGCCAGGCTCTTACTCCATTTTGCTTGCCTTCTCATGATGAATTTTGATTTGGTTCGCTGTCCTTTCAAGCTGTGAAGCAGAACAAGCACCGAGGTACTTTTCCTGTGTATACCTCTGGAAAGCAAGTGACAGCTAGCAGCAGTTACTTTAGGGTGTCCTAAAGCTGCTGCTGATGTCTTTTTATTAAGGAAGACTTGGGGTACTGAGCTAGGTCTTGACAGACTTTTTAATTGGCAGCATTAAAATTTGGCAACATACTCCCTTATATAGAGAAACTAAGTTCACATTAATAGGATCAGCCGAAACTAGAGAAAAAGCACATATTTTAAAAAAGAAATTCACTAAAATAAAAGTCTCTTTGTAATTGCTAATTTTATTAGTTTTATTGTATTTGTTCTAGAAGTGGGCACAAATAATTGACAAAATCCTGCTCTAATTCTTATAAATGTTTCTTCTGCGTGATGTTAGACACACTGTGTTTCTACAGCTGTTTCACTACTTCATTGTATTACAGCTTGTTAATCATCAAATCACTTAAATATAAATTACTTCTTGCTGTTTCTTTTAGATTGCAAAGTTCCCTTGTATGTAAATTAAGTACACGTTCCTGACTCTGGGAAATTATTTCTGTTTAGGGGAGGTATTTTCATAATGATGTCTAGAACATTTCTCTCCAATATATTTTTTGCATTTCTTTGTCCTAGTTATTATGATATGGTTTCTTGCCAAGCAAGAATCTGTGTTATAGGATTACAAATGTAATAATAATTTGAAGAAAAAATTGGATTAATAATAGAATTTTTCAACTAAATTGGAAATAGAGTATGCAAATAAATCATTGGGAAAAAACAACTTCTTTCAGACACATGAATTAATTGCTGTGCAAAACACAAGTCTCACAGATTCTTCCTGTTTATGTCTGGTGAAACACAAACTCTGCTCCCCAGAGCACTTATACAGGAAAAAAAAAAAAACAAACAACAAAAAAACAGAGCTTGGGAAAATGAAAGGAAGGAAACTGCAGGCTAACTGCTGTGTGGTTGAAAGCTTCAAAAGAAGGCTTTATATGCTATGTTTTCATTTTGTGCTCTCCTCTCTCGGATTTTGGTTCTCTTCAGTCTTTGCTTGTGCTGGTACCACACACTGTTGTGAAAACCAAAAACCCCCAGAAATTTATATAGATTTATTTCAAATGGAACAAACATACTGACAGGTTTACATTGAATGACCAGATGGTGTTTGTGAGCATGAGTGTTACAAGTTTCCATAGAAGAACTAGTGCTATTTTTTTAATCTCATTTGATGCCAATTTGATAAAAGTTTTAGAAGTATAATGACTGAAAAAAAAAAATGTAATTGGAAGAAAAGTATTAATATTGAATGAATTACAGAACATAACTGTCAAATGCAAACTTGTCTCAGTTCTGATTTGCAGTTAAATAATGTAACCAGTACCAAAATCAATCAACACTTGGTAAATTTAAGAAGGCCAAGAATATGGGTCCTGGCTTGGTTTTAATTTTCAAGCAAAGAATTTTACCCAAGTCAATCAACTATAAAATTTGAAGCTGGATAAATAGTTTTTATGCTGAGACCAAATTATTATACAATGTCTGAGCCACAACCTCAGTTTCCTTCTTGCATTTCAATTCCTTCATGGTTACTA